TTGAACATCTTCGGTGTGATGCTTTACCTGCGTGTTAGTTGGGTTGCTGGACAAGCTGGAATTGGTTAGTCATATTGGTATTCTTATAATTCTTAATTACACCATGCTTTATTTTCTTGAATAAACCGAGAAGGGCGGAGATGTTGTTCGCCTCTACTTATACATCACTTCTTGGATATATTTTAGACTTTCAAATAATGCTATTTTGAAAGCTTCTTGCATTGGCATACTTAGCGCTTGAAGTAGCTGTTATTTCACCACTGGTTGTTTTAAACAATGCTGCATCTTCTGGTGGTCAGCTTCCCATCGATCCCTACTTTCCTTTCGTCTGCTGAACGGATTACCCGCTTCGTGGCTTTTCCGATAGAAGCGTGGTGGTAAGATTCAGCACTTGCAGATTCAGCACTTGTGTTGAGTATTACCATCTCGTCCTCAAACGATGCTAACCCCAGACGACTTTGGGTACCTTGCCCCCTGAGATTTTGCATTAGCATATTGAGGTATTTTTGCTACGACATAGGTGATTGTTAAATTATTGAAAGGGTACCCTCAAATTTCGAGTTTCTCCGCAGAGGCAGTTTGGCAACCGACACACAAATAAATTAGTGATAATTTCCTTAACTGTTGTTAGTACTCTATGCTTCTTGACATTCGTGGCACTAATTAGCCTGAAACATTCAACTAATCACTTACATTTCCTGAACTTCCTCAACCGTAGCTTGACATTTGAAATTTCTATCACTTCTGCACAGCTTTATTTGCTTTACAGTTGTAAAGCGCATTATCAGATGTATTTTTCCCCCAACATTGATTCACATTAAAATTTATTGTTTGACTGCCAGTAGTAGAAATGATCAATGACAATTTCTGCAGAAAGGGAAAGAAATCGCTTATTGGAAAAAAATCGGAAATTTTAATTCAACATTTTTTACTAAAAATAGATTTTATTGATCATTTTCTTACACTTTTATTGGTCAGGAAAATAATCAAAAACAATTTTTGCAAAGGAAAGGCAAAAATCGTTAAATGGAGAATCGAAATTTTAGCCCAATGTCTTTTTTTACCAAAAAGTCGGTTTTACTGATCATTTTCCGGGCACTTTTTATAGACTGCTATGATTGTTCCGTATATCCAATATCCTGGCTCAAATCCAGGAAATAGGATTAGTTGGCATTGTTGATCAATATTCATTACGCTGTTTTTATTATACAGGTTCTTAGTGACCGGTATTTTTCACTTCCTATTTTCATTACCATGTTCCTTTCTATTTCAGGATTAGGCTGCGCTGTTGTACTGCTTGCTTCACTGGTAACATTCATTACGGCATTGTCGACATGTGCTATCTGTACAAATGGCGACGTGAAGGGTGGAGGAGCTTATTTCTTGGTCAGTTTTGCTTCATTCTCAATCCTAATTGATGAACTGACTCGAATTCGAAATTCTTTCTTGAACTGGAGTAATTTTGAACTGAAAATGGAGTTGAGCTGAGAGTTTGTTCAAAAAAAAAAAAAAAAGAAAGCAGCCAATTTTTACAAAAAATAACATATCCAAGGTGTGGTACCGGAACTATATCCGAGCTGCACTTAATTATGCTGCAGTCAGTAGTTCAACGTGGAATCCATATGGCGTGAACCTAATTTTTATGCGTTTTTTGCATCTATGCAATGCAAAAACGCATATTGTCGAGGGGTTGTCTGTGTGTGTGTGTGTGTGTCTGTGTGTGCGTCTGTAACGAGTTTTCATCTCGAGATCCACAAAAGCAGCAAAGGCTGAAAATTTGGTGACTTAATCTACGCGTACGTGCGGGCTCGTATCCTGAAAATGGACGCTCAGGTCCACGTGGTTCTCACGTAGGGGCACGTGAAAGTTTTTTTGGCGGGAAAG